TAAAAAAATGTACCGGTTACTATCAAAGTTTTAAAAACACAATGTATGTAGCAGATGAAGTAGATTGAAGACTTGTAAACTTGTTACAATTCTTTGCATCAAATGAATTTGACATTGTGTATATTTTCTCATCTTCACACACACACACACATTTCATGTTCTTATTCACTTTTACTTCCTTCACTTTAATAGATTTGAGTTTTATGAACTGAAGATTAAAAATAGGCCCAAAACTAATATGGAGATATGTAACGTGTATAAGAATTGGGCCTGATATATGACATTTTTCCTGACATTTTGTTTGTTTTCTTCAGCTATAACTAGGTCTGTGCCAGTATAGTGGTATTTGCCATGTAGGTTGGTTTATATCTCTTACTAGACTAATCTGTGTATTGGTTGGTCGAAGGTAATGTATTTGTAAATCTGTGTGTAAAATTTTTGTCAAATAAAGACTGATACAAAAAATACTGGGGGGTTCTGTGTCATTTATGTAATAAGGAATTAGACCTATTGTATCTATGCAGGGGACAATGTACACTTTTAGAGTAATAGAAAGAGAGAGCCATTAGAGAGTACCTTCACCAGTTAGGATAGTAGAATTGGGCAAAAATAAGGTCTGGCTAGCCGGGAGGGTTCATTTCAGTCTCGAAACGCAAATGAATGCTATGTGGCTAATTACAGTACTAGTAATCTCCCTATTTGTATTGTGGAGACTACAATTTGTGGGGGTTATAAGCATTGTGATTTGGGCACTAACAAATTACCCTTCGCTATTTTCTAGGTGTTGGGTAACCTCCAAGCAGACTCCTTCAAGGGCAAAATGCTATGTTGGCCAGGCCAAAGTAGCAAGTTGGCCTGTTGTATATGGAACACCAACCGAGTGTCTTGCCCCCAAAGAGATCTGTTTGGAGATAAGGTGTAGGGTAGGGCAACAGGTACTGAATAGGGTAACCACAAAGAGGAAAGGGTAGGGCAACAACTACTGAATAGGGTAACTTGCTTGGAGATTGGGTGTAGGGTAGGGCAACCGCTACTGAATAGGGTTGCCTTTCCACAAAGAGGAAAGGGTAAGGCCACAGGTACAGAATAGGGTAACCGCAAAGAGGAAAGGGTAGGGCAACAGGTACTGAAGAGTGTGACCACAAAGAGGAAATGAAGATGGGCAACAGGCCAGATCACATTGGAAGGCATGTATAGTGCATCTGGGAGGGAGTCTTCAGGTGGCTGCAAGTTGGCCAGCCAGTATCTTATGTCAGACAGTGACCATTTTGCCACCCTTGCGCTGGTTAGGTAGCTTTTAGTGTTTGAACTTGGATGCCTTGGGATTATGTCTCATTTCACTCATACCATAGAATGTTATGTAGACAAGGGACTTTTTCTGTTTTAAGCAGGAGTTTTATACGACATTCACTTTATGTACCAAAAATGTGAATTTGCAGTGACTGTATGCCAAATTGCCCTCAAGTCACCAGGAAAGCAATTACACTTGTCTCAAGCATTGTTAATGACCTTTGTGGCTAAGTGTAAATCTACCATTGCCATTTCAAGACAAGACAACAAAATTCCGTTTAATGGTCTTTATTCGGAAATCAGCAAAGAATGTCTTGCTCCTCAAGATTGAAAAGTTGAGGTTCAACTCAAAAACAGCTCCTATCAAAACGGATTCAAATGCATGCTCAGCATTGCCAAGGTGGTTTGATTCACCCTCCTTGTTATTGCTAGCAAAACCCTGGTCTTCCTAACAAGGTATTCATGTAGCATAACCTCACCATAAGGCTTGGAGTACACATATCAAGCCCATGTCTATGGCAGTGAGTAAACTTAACATTACAAAAACTTATAGCAGCATATATACTTGTAAATGAACTGTAATCTTATTCATTTATTTGCTAAAGAATCTACGTTATAACATCTAGTAACCAAAATATGCTATATAAACTCTGGGTGTGTCCTCTTTAACGTATTCCATGTCTAAGACCTTCTGTTCTTTGACAAGAAAATACGAAGATCGCATCACCCCAGGTACAGTGAAGGGTACTTGGAGCCAGCCAAGTCCTCAATCCTGCACCTATACATATCTTATGTCTCACCTATATGTAATCTTAAGTCTACATTCATCCAAAGCTTCCTCGCACAACCTTAATGATTAAGAGCTGTATGAACAGGAGGAGCATTGTCACTGATGTGACCAAGTCAACAATCCACTTACAGAATGCACCATTACAACTCGTTCACTTGTTGCATGAAGTGCCAGCTTCATATTTACCAAGTAACTCTGAAATGGTCGCTCAACTGTTAATATAACAAAACAAATTTAAACAAAGATTTGTAAAAAAAACAACAAAAGGTCATAGTCTGCATATCATACCTGGAAGCTTCACAACCCTCAGAGCTTAGCTTTCCACTGAGACCTGCCATATGATATTGCAAGTATTTGCATTGGCAGTTTGGCCACTATTTTTTTTAAACGTTTTAAATTATCTCAACGCTTTACAGTGACAAGTACGTCAAGACATCACAGGAGTTTTTAACACTAATTTGGCAGTTTGCACTCTTAGCTGCCTTTTTCACTTGTCCGTTCATGGACCAGAGCACCAGGATATATTGCAAGTATCAAATCATCAATGCTTGGCTACAGCAAGTTACCAAAGAAGCTTACGTCTCAGTCAGACAATATTTTGTCTTATCATTTTTCAGCTGCCTCTCTTCAGCGCTTCCTTCGTAATCTAACCTGAGCATGTCCAGACCAATTCAACACTGTCCAATCACAACCTCTCACATTGTCCAATCACAGCCTCTTACATAATCCAATCACAAGTCTTTCACATTGTCCAATGATCTCCAATCACCAACTGCCTTTTAGACTGTCCAAACAGTGTCTTTCAGACTGTCCAACCAGTGTCTTTCCCAAAGAACCGTGTTACCGAGGGTACTCGATGACTTCACTTCTCTTGTCGCTGAGGCGGTACAACTTCTTCTTGACCAGCTTGTAGCCAGAGCTCAGTGTGACTGTTTTCTGCCCAGAGCACCCAGAGAACGGGAGGAGTGCCTGTAGGGAGTTCAGCCACGCGGCACGGTCTCTTCTCAGGGTCAGCGTAAGCTCGAACGTGTTCACTGTGTCTGGGTCGTAGTTCACCCGACCGACCTGTTTCGATACGTCTGAATCTTCGTACACTGTGTGGATGAGACACCCGCGCAGACCGCAGGGTTCGTTGTCGGACATCCGCATCACGTCCCTGGCGATCTTCTGCGTGAGGTTGTCCGGCACCACCAGGTTGCACTGCAGGTATCTCTGCCGCACCCTCCGCAGGGCGTCTTGTAGCTTGTTGGACAGTCGCTCACATGCGAAGTGATCCATTGTGTCGTCAAACGTCCAGTCTCTGCACAAGAGGGACAAGTCTGGAAAATACGATGGGAGAAACCAACATTAAAATCTCAGTCAAAACAGATATTTTGTACCAAAAGAGGTCCACAAAAGGCAGTAGAAGTAGTAGAAAGGCACATGCTGCCAATACTAGGCATACTAAGATATAATCCCCAAAGTGTGCATTGTGTTATACAACTTACGTTTTCAAATTTTGAAATTCACATTGTTGTCTGGGGCCAGCTGGGTTCAATTGTCACATGATCCCCAGAGGCTCAGTGGGGGAACAGGGTGGGGGAATGTGGCACCATGGTAACAAGATCTGCTGAGCTAGCAGTGAGCACAAACTCAGCACAAACTGGGAGATACCAAATGTTTCGGCTTTTTTGTAGGGAATAAATCTAGTCTTTCATGGTCTAAACAGTAACTATTACATCAAGAGTATACTTGCAATCACATTACCTATCTTGTTGCAATAATGTACTAGTATGCATCAGCTTTACCTTCCAACAAAATACACATAATTCTAACAGTTTTCCACCACAACCCCTCCCTTGAATGGTATATCCCAATAAGGCAAGAAAAATAGGACAAGCCCCTAGCAACAGCAGTAGGGGCCTGGGGAGATGTTGGCCTGTATAACAATAGTACTGTAAAATCATCCATCTTCCCGGGTAGTTAGTGGTTACCATATGATATGATGCCTATCAATAGTGACAGATCTATATGGTGATTTGTATAACCTCAGTGGCAGTGCCTTTTGGGCTGGTTACGTGTTTAGCTACCATAAGCTGCAGCAAAGCTATTGAAAAAGCATAATGCTCCATCAATAAGGTTATCACTTATCATATTGCATCACCTACGGTCATTCAACTCTGCTTAAGTCAATGACCTGACCGGATCCAATAACAAGACTTAGCCACATGAGTGCAACTCAAACACATGATCCCTAAAAGCAACACGTGCTATGTTCACATCAGGGTAATCAGCATACAAAACCTGCAAAGTCAGCTTTTACTAACATGTTTGTTTTCGCTCTTAGGACTGAAGCCTTTTGCTGACCATCTGTATATGCAGGGTAAAGGTGTCCTGATTGGCGGACAATGTAGGCTAAACTAACAAGCTGGCGTGTTTCACCTGGATGTCCTCAGGTAAAAGGTGTTTGCCTATCTAATATTAGCTTGTAAAATGTTTAGTTTGCCAAAGACTGGAAATTCTGAAGAAAGAAGAAAGCAAAGGATACCCCAGCAAAAAATTTTGTAATGAGAAGTAAGCTGTTCTCCAGCCAGTTACTGCAGTAGGTTTTGGTGCTGTAGGCAAGTGATTTTTCTGCAGTGTGGTGTTAGCGGTCACTTTGACCCAGTGCTAACATCACGTGCAGAAAAATCATGTGTCTATAGCACTTGGGTCAGATAGCTGATGAAGATGAACACCGAGATATTTTTTCAGAAATTTCAGTAAGTAAAAGTGGGAGAACACTTTTTACTCATTATATCATGCTATTGAATAGAAGATTTTCTTGTAGGTGGTACCACGACTGTTAAAACAAATGCATTTGCACAATCTATTTTAGTGCCATGCGAGCGTGCAAAATCTTATCTAGCCAGAGACAATAGTGTTTACATTGACTTTATCTTAGATGAACATATATAGTTTATCAGGTTAATCAGATAATCTAAAGACGTACCCATTGTCCCCATGCACCTGTGCTGAATCAGCAATAGTGCTCCACCCTCTAGACTAAGACTATAGTCACATGACAAAAATGAAATGCACTGTTGGCAATACCAACTTTATAACCTACAAAAATCAAACTTCCTTCCTATACTGTACATGTGCCCACCTGTACCTAACCCTTTTAACCACCACTTCCTGGCCCGTTCCAGGTAACTTTACCTGGCAGGAAGGACAAAGGACACTTGTTCCACCTGCCTACACATGAAAAGCTCTGTCCCTGAACAATTAAACAAATAATGGACAGTCTGGAACATTCTTTAAAATGCAAGCCTCACTACTTGCTGACCGATTTGGGTATAACTACTATACAAGTAACTCTATAATGAGCCTGAAGCATATTTGTTTTAGACACAGCACGAAAGTTATGCATGAAACATGTGACTATGAGTCATGAGCTCAGGTAAAACTAGGTGTGGATAAAGTGTACCTATTGGAAGTTGGAAGGATGCCGCCCTGTTACACTGGTCCTGTCATAGGTTCATCTAGCCCGAGGTTATGCCAAATATAGTATATGTAGCACAGAAAAGTACTTAGTACATACTATTGTCTGTTACCTGCTTGGAAAATAGGACCTGTATGAAAATCAGTTTACCTGATTATCTATAACCATTCTTTGACCCTGTTCATACCAGACTTATATTTAGCGGTTTCAACCGGTTTTTCAAAAACCCGGCTAAAACCCTTAGCGTTCATACCAGACTTTTGATAACCGGTTTTGAAAAAATCCTGTCCGGTGAATATCCAATTAATCGGCCATGACTGCAGTTTGAATAACCGTTCCTCCCGCTCTTCCGATTGTTGTCCTTGGCCTTCTTGCTTGTATGCCGTCTTCAGTTTTTTTTACCTTACTGCGGCACTGATCCTTTATCTTCAAGAAATCAGCCTCCTCCAACATTTTTGTTTCGGTAGAGCCCTCGCCGCCCCCCCCCCCAGCTTTTTCGAATTCGGCGACTCCTGCTCTCCAAACCCAAGTATCAGGAGCGTCTCGTCCGCCGAACAGGTTGCGTTTACTGATTCCATCGCAAAATGAAGAAAAACCATGGAAAAACAGTGGAAACGAACTCAAGTTGGTCAAAACAACGCGATCAAAAAGCTTGCAGGTCGCACACGGTCAGGATGCTGACCCCGTGACCCCGGAATTATGACGCAAAAACCGGTTCAATAAACCCTTAGCGTTCAGACCAGGTTTTTCGGTGGAAAAACCCCACAAAAACCCCTAAAAAACCACCTCCCGAGGTGGTTTTTCAAAATCGGATTTAAACCCCTAAAAAACCGGTTAATTTGCGTTCACACCAGGTTAAATAAAAACCGGTTTTTGAAAAACCGGTTGAAACCGCTAAATATAAGTCTGGTATGAACAGGGTCTTTGCCAATTTTTACTTGGCCAGGTCTCCAAAATTAAAATCACAAAGAAATGTCAGGGCTGGAAACCTTAGTAAGGTGATTGGTTAGACTTTGCCTGGTCCAAAGTTACCTGTGCACTAGTACCACATCCTGACATTCTGCTGAAATTTGACCCTCCTGACTTATCTCACCTGCATGACCAAATATAGCAGTAAGGGAAACCCTCTGGCTTTTGAGAAGAAAAAAAGACACTTCGATAGCTTTCTGAAAATGTTTGTAGACCTTTTCATAGCTTGAGTTAACCTTGATGTAGTATTGTTTTAAAATATTGTCACTCACTGACTCAGTGCCATGCATTTGTATGAAATTAGAAATGATATTTTAAGGCCCTATGTCAAAAGATTATGCCAATGATTTAAGTTACCGGGCACATTGAGAAAAAAACCTGTCTCCTACAAAAAGTCTACCTGTATTTCAAAATGGATTGACCCTTGGAAACCCAAAGCCTAGGAGTCCAGTAGGACAGCACAGGACCCAGTGGGGCCTCAAGGGAACAAATACTAGGTTGCATCATGCAAGGCATCACAAGGCTGGAACTCATCAACCTACTATACACACAGTCAAATTCGCTGGGACTGTAAGAAAAATGGCCTGGATTTTATCCCTGAATCCAAACTACAGCTCTAGAAATATTTTACATTACAATTTAGGAAAGAAAGGGCGTCTAGGGGACTGCATTGAGTGTGAGCATTTCGCACTCAGGGTATGGATTATTCAAATGGGAGGGAACTACAATACCGTAACGGAATGTCATAAAATAACACGATTTATCATTTGAGTGTTGACATGGCTCGGGTGCCCACTGCAGGGATTCTGATTTAAATCACCCAACAATGGTCATGACTACACGGGGGTGCTCACCACAGACTTATCCTCACTACATGACGTCAATCTCTACTCCTATTTATAAGATAAGGAAAGCTTTTGTTTCAAGTTCACGTAAACTATCTCCCATTTTCTAAGCCAAATACAAGGGTTTATGTATGAATCTATTATAAGCTTCGATAGATAATAGAAAACCGTCAGAAAATTTTAGGTACTACAACTGTGCAAGCTCGAACATGTTTCCAAGAAACTTGAAACTTGAGCTGAACGAAGACCTTGCGCAAATATACCCTCCTTATAGATTTATAAGAAGTGTTCAAGAAAAAAAAAAGTTGTACCAACCTTCTGCGCTCTCGGTGCTTTTGTATCTAACTTGGGGATGGTTTTCTTTCCAGTCGGGTTCTTTCGTGTGGTCTCTTTCGAAGACAGAAGAGAGCGGTGGGCTGGTCTTGTGGCCCGGGACGAAAATGTCCCCCAACTTGGTAAACAGCTTCTGCAGAGCGGCGAAGAACCCGTCTCCGCCGTCGGTAACTTCTTCCTGGATCGGGGCCTCCCGAGACGGTACGTTCGGGACCATCGTGACGTCGCACTTGCACATGAGGACCGTAGGATGGAAGATGATCTTGTAAGAAAAGATTTTTGTGACACGGAGAACACTTCGCACCGCTTTTCTCGACCGTAGACGAGACAGTGGTGACCCACATGTTCGGCACGTCGACCTTATCAGCTGAGACGGTGGGCGGGGCTTAGCAAAGCTTCCCTTATTTGGACTGATCAGCTGGGCATAATCACACTGTTGTCATAGCATTTTCGTCGACTTAATCCCCGATTACACGACGCAAATGTAATTTCTAATTAAAACAGAGCAATTTAACGTAGGCTTATCAATTTCTTGGTGAAAAAATGGCATTTTTGTTTCAGTTGAAGCAGAAACATTGTGGGAATCGGAGGAGACGAACTCTCTACTCGTTTTCTTCTGTCTGCTTTTCTGGAAATTTCCGACACCGTAGCCAATCAGATTGCTCCATTTTGGGGGGTGCGCCGGTATGTAAATTTATGGAAAACTCGCGACGTCTCGTCTGGATGCAAAAAGCCAGCTTCCAGAATTCAGATTTTAGCATATTAAAACCATTTCTGGGCGCTTATAACCAAAGTTCTTTTTGCTGCTAAATTCCCGGGCGCGACTTTGGCAGCAAAGAAAAAAACTAGACGTATTCAGCCCCAATCCGACACAACGGTCGCAGCCTGTTCGTGAGGCTAGAAAGTAGTACCTACGTGGCCAAACGCACGCGCCAACGAGTTCACTTGCGGACAAAACCTTGACTTATCATTCCAAGTCGCAGAGTAAGAACTTTTCCAAGTCAAAAACAAGACTCCTGCAGATGTGCTGTTCCTTTTCTCCTTTTGTTTTGCACGTTTTTTTTTTTTTTTTTTGCGTGCTAAGCTATTTTTAAGTCACTGGGCATGTGGCCAGATGTACTAATGTTAACAGTTAATAGATACAAACAAGGTAATTAATATGTGATTGATACTATTTTTTTTGCTATAAAATAGTATAAATCACATATTTTTTTTTCTATCCTGGGTGCCAGACTATCGGTCGAGGATTGCAAACCGTGAAACTTCTTGGAAATGTGTGACAGTGTGGAATTGTAAGCAATTCTAGAGGCCTAGGCAGCCAAGGACATAGCCTGTAGTGCTGCGTGTAGTATTACACTGTATATCGTGTACATGTACAGTATGTCCTTGGCCTGTACAGGCCTGGATATATTTTAGTCGGCCCGGGGCACACTGTGCTGTCATGAATAACCTGACGTACGGACTGCATGGCAAGGTTCAGCTAGAAACGTCTAGAACCAGATGCTATTACCGAGGCCATTTACAATTACATGACCGCTCTCATGACCAATAGGTTGTTCACCTAGCATATATCTTATATGGCTTGCTTAGCTGGGCAAAATTTACACTAGCAAACGTTGCGACCAGGGGGTGAAGTGACACATGTGATTAGTAACGACATGGAGGCTCTTTTTCTACCTCCATGGTAACGATAAATAAAACAAGAGGCTCGTATAATCGTAAAATGTATAACCATTATATCTCAAATAGATAAATATATGGATATAAGCTAGGTAACTACTAGTATAGACATGGGCGACTGTTTGATAAATACTAGTACCTAAGGTAGATGATAGTGGGCTTTAATAAAAGTACGCCGTGACCAATGTATCAGTGGTGGAATTTTTTTATCTTATATATAATACCGTGAACGTATAGCTAGGTTATGAAGGATTAACTGAGACGTACTGCAACAATGTTTAAAAATGGATTTTTTAAACGTCCTTGAATAGAGCAAGGAGCTTTGATTTAACGTCATTGAAAAGAGCAAGGAGGTTACATTCATTGAATGAATGATTCAATTGTTTAAAATCGTATACTTGTATCTTGTCACCTAGTGGGAGACCTGCGGTATCTTCCTCTGTTCTATTTCACACATCGACAACCTGTGAATTGTTCATTGTCATGTGAAACTCTGCGAGCTTGCCGCCCCAGACGTGTTGATAGCTCGCCAATGTCAAAGCCGGCCGACATGCAAGCTGTAACAAAGCAATGTGTCAAACTTCGGCGTCTGTTTTTCGCCGACGTTGGACGTGTGTATTATTAAAACCTGTTAAACCGCCTTTAGTTATGATGGAGATGAGTTGAAAGTAATGTTGTGTGATATGCCGACTGCCTTTGTTTCTATAACCATGGAGGTTTTTCTACCTCCATGCTATAACAGGCTTTTTAGAAGTTGTCCAAGGAGGTAACCCTGGTCAGAATAAATTACCGTGGTATACATGCATGAAAGACCGCCGAAAGAAAATGACGTCCATGATCATTGTGTGTTCACGACGTTGTTTCAATGGCAAGCGCGATAGTAAAGACGCATTACCATTTAATAGACTCTTTTACCATAAGACTAGAAATTTTGCATTTCATTACCCTTTGCAATCTAAAGTCATAATAAAGGCAATAAAGGGCAAAATAAAGGTATTATATATTTTGGATCCTAGTAACTAGTACGGATGTGTGGCTTCTGATCGTTATTGTTTTCGTTTATTTGGCCCGCGTCCTTAGCCTAACTCACCTGCTTGCCTAACTGTACTACACCAGGGCCCGGCGGCGCGGCAAATTTCCGTCTCGTAAACGGTCGTCGCCTTTCCGAACGGTCGTCGCCTTTTTTCAGAACGGTCGTCGCCTTTCGGAGCGGTCGTCGCCATTTCCGAGCGACCGAACTTCAGTTCCGAATATCCGCGACATGTTCGGGACTTCCCCGAGTTCTTTGAATGTGTGAAATCACACTTCCTGAAGATAACATCGCGACCGAAGACGGGCCAGAACTTGGCTAGGTGGATTGAAGTTGCGTGGGTGCTAGTACATGTATTATAATTATAAGTTCCGGGGGTTGAATTATCTAGGTTAGAACTAGGTTAGTGTTTGAGAAATTCTCGATTGGAACGGGAAGGGTTTGGGTAACTCTGAACTCGAATGTCTCTGGGTATTTATTTTTCTTGTATGTGAACATGTCCTTTGCCTTTTTTCTTTGTTTCCTTTTGAAATGCGAATAAACATTATTTGAAAAAAAAACCCCTCTGAACTAGAACGTTTGTAGGTTTTCATACATTGCTGAATTTGAAACGGGGGCGAGAAAAACTCCACATGTATTTTTGGAACAGCCCATTGTGCGAGCATGTAATTTATGAATGCTGCAGGATGGTCTGACTCAGAAACATTCATTCGGAAGCACCATCACACATGCAGGCATTTACTCTGACCAAGGACATTATGTCCTGACTGACTGACTCACAACTCCACCACAGCCGGGTTTTATTTTGTTGGCTCGGTGCTTGCCCAGCATAGCAGGCCATTTCACACTTGTCACCAGCATGGCATTGATGTGCTACCCAGTGAATGTGTCGTATTTACATACAGTGCAGTGGTGAATGTGTCAAGTATTAACATTCAGCAAGGTAACAAAACATAGACATTTCGGGATGAAAATAGCTTTACAAGTTTGTCAAAACTCCTGTCAAAGTAAGACATTGTCCCCCTTCTAAAACAGCAGGTCCTTTATTAATCCTACATGAATTTTACATAAACGAAAGGAATACATACCACAGGGATTGAGAAATATAGCACAGGGACGGAATCTATGTTTGTTTTTGGTTGAAGATTCATTTGTCATTTGTATAAACGGCATTATATGAACCCTTCTTCAGTTTGTTGGCGAAGGAAAACAAGAATAGGCTGGAGAAGATCCAGGCCTAGGATCGTATGCTGATCTTATAAAATCAGCAGTTGAGGAGACAAGTTACTTTTCTGGCCCGCCTACGGTCGCCATGTTATGGACTGAGTGCGATTCACACATTCCAAGAACTCCGGGAAGTCCCGAACATGCCGCGGATATTCGGAACTGAAGTTCGGTCGCTCGGAAATGGCGACGACCGCTCCGAAAGGCGACGACCGTTCTGAAAAAAGGCGACGACCGTTCTGAAAGGCGACGACCGTTTACGAGACGGAAATTTGCGGCGGCGCGGCCCCCCAGCCAGCATTCTGAGACCGGACTGCAATTTTTAGAGTCGTCGTAGGAGGCGCTCAATCAGGTGCAGTACTAGTAGGCCACCAGTAGTAGGCTGTTACATCCTGGCGCCATCAGTGGGATGTGGGCCACAAGTGGCGCTGATCATATGTGCACGTGTGTGAGTGTGTGTGTGTGTGTGTGCGCTTGTGCGTGAAAAAGAAGAATAATCCGTCAAGAAGATTTTCCCTCGCAACATCTGCTTGATTACTGGAATGACGTCACTGCCGATGACCTGTCTGCCAGGTCGTGATTGTCGGCCTTACGTAAAGTGAAAAGGGCACAAAGGATTGTGGAATGAATGACGTTATATATGGATGTATGGAGATCTAGAGACTTTGCGTCAACCAAAGATATTACATGTAACGATGAACGTGATAACCAGAAATGTTAATTACTGAGCCACCCTATACGCGGTAGGATCACGTCACTATATGACAGATGCCCATTTATCATCTTTCTTAAACGTCGAAGAAGGTTAGACACTCAAGTAATTAGGTACACAAGAGGTTGTTACTCAAGCAACTGAATAGGTTTTGAAGCTGTCAGACGTTTCAAGTAACAGCTACTACCGAAGTTCAAGTCGTCAGCGACACTCACTGAAGAAAAGTAGTGGATGTAATTTTAGTTAATGTTTTTAGCCAAGCACAACGGCCCGGGCCAACAATACCGTCTTGTCGGCCAGAGCAAGGAGGTTGTTTAGAGAGAGCAACTTAGGCAGAGCCATAATCTCTATGCAGATGTTTTGCCTTTTTTTGTGGCATTGTTTACTTTCTAATGGCCTTCATTACTCGTATATCATGTGTGTAATAGTGATACTATTTTTATGGAATGACGTCACCACACTGATGACGTGTATGACCATGGCCAAGTCGTCACCATCGACCTTACGTTCACGGGAAAGGGCACGGAGATTGTGTGCATACTAGTAATATACACATATTCATGACTTTGCCTCGATCCAAAGACATAAACGTAACAAATTTCAGAAATGTTAATTTCTCAGCTACGCTATACAAGGTTAGCAATATGACAGACACAAATTTATCATATTTCTCAAAGTTTTTATTAAGATGGTACAGATGAC